GGGACCGGGCAGAGGCAGAGGCGCAGCCGAGAAGCGAGAGCTCACCTCGGGGAGGAACGCGGTGCGGGAGCGCGGCGGCCTTTCGCCCCTCCGCAGAGCGCCTGGGCTGCCCCGGGGGTTGGGTGGGGTTTTTCGGTTTGGTTTGGCTTTGCCTCTTTGTGTCCTCAGTTGTGGTTCTGCATGAAGCCGCAGGCACGGCTGTCCCAGCCCACCAAGACCCTTCCCAAACTTCACGCTGTCTTTCTGTGGAGGCGTGAGCTGCAAGTGCAGTGCTTGACGCAGAGCTAATGAAAATATTGGCATCCGGCAAAGTTCATGTGCACCTCTTAATTTACCTCTGACAACCTTTTTGGACTGTCGTGCGCCCACGGGGCGGCTGGACGCTGTGCTCTGTTGGGGTACGTACAGCACGGGCTTGCTGATGCTCTTCCCCCATAATTTCTGGAGTCCTTATGAGAAATGATGCCCTCTTGGTGTCCAAGAGCAATAGTAAATTAAAACGTGACCTAGGACTTTTTTGCTCTTGTACACTCAAATTCCTTGCTGTAATTTTACATCCATCAAATTCCAGCTGTAGGATCGGCACAGCTCTACCTGAGTAGATGCTTTACTGAGTCTCGGACTAGCTCTAATGTGTGAAATGTGCTTGTTGAGTCTGCTCGGGAGCGTCCTGACCCAAGAGACGCTGCTTTTTGTTCCCCGAGACATAAAGGGGTCTTTTGCTTTGCCCGCACGATGTGTGCAGTGATGGGAGCCGCACGGATGCTGGCTCTTAGGGCAGCTCTTGGTGCTGGAGCCCTGGGCGAAGCGTTGGCTCTCGGCGTTTGACGGGGAGCTGTGCTTGAAGCACAGAATGGTGGCTACGACGCGGAAGTCATTGCATGGCGGACGGTGCTGGGCTGACGTGCCTGCGTGAAGTCCCCCAGACTGGTAACGGCGAAGCCATCCTGGTCGACCCGGGGGCCTTCCCTGCAGAGGGTTCCCTGGAGCTGCTCCGAGGGGGTGAGTCCGGATCGGGGTGCGCCGGGAGCGAGGGTGGCCGACCCCGCGTGTCACCGGGGCGCGCTGGTGCGTACGCCCGCAGCTCGAGCACCCCTGCGGCCGCGGGGGTTTCTAAACCCTGGACTTCTGCAGCCTGCAAAAAGGGGCTGGGTGGGGTATCTTTGTTAGGCACCCAGCGGCTTTGCTCTGAGTGGCTGTATTTGACGTGAAAAACTTTGCCTTTTGAGGGTGCGGAAGCACGTTTGATGCATGGTCTGCTTTTTAGGAATTCTCCAGAATGTTTGGCTGTGATCTTGCAAACGCTAAAAGAAAAGGACATGATAAAAAGTCTTTAAAGCTGTGTATGTGTATCCGATACCTGCATCCGATGCTGTCACGCATTCATTTTTACCCTTTTCAACAAAAGATGTAAGTTTGTCTAATGTTTATCTCTATAGCCAAGAGGAAATGGACTTCGACTCTTTCTCCCTTCTCCTTATGAAAAATGTAAGACCTTTTTAACAGCTTTGTTGTAGACAGAGTTCGCTAGTTAGTTTTCCAGATAAATTCCCCTCTGTTGCAGCTTTGATTTGAAATACACAGGAGCTAGCTCTTCAATAAACAGTCCTGCAAAGCAATTTTCCCTAGTAATCAAACCGATATTTTTAGCTGTAGACTGCAAGCTGCTGTTGAATTTCCACTGCCCTTCGGAGACATTTGTAAACAGGAGCTTTGGTAAAAGAAGTTTTGCACAACAGCGAATTGAAGCAGCCGAGCTGAAGGGCCCGAGTGGCTAATTGCCCTCCTGGTGCAGAACGGCAGGCGCTGGGTGCGCTTTCCCTGCCCTCTCTGCTGTTGCATGCAGGGGGTCATTGCTCATGATAAATTCCATCCCCGCAAGAGCGGGAAGGGGGGTGCTGGGAAACCGCTCCCCTCCTCCTGTCAGGATCGCCCTTTATATGTGAAACACTCGCCGTCTCTTAGATAAGTCGTTGGAACTGAAGGTCTCCTCCAGAAATCAGAAGAGAGACCTGGACAGAGGCGCTGACTATTGATTTTTTTTTTTAATTCCCCCCTGCCCCCTGGTTAGTTGTGAAAGTGGTCGGGGACTCTGGAAGCTGCACAGGGTCAGCTGAGCATCATCCAGCAACGGGTGCTGGGGCAAGAGCCGTCTGCCTGGAAACCCCCTTTACGGCGACCGAGGCCCAGCCTACCTGGCTGCTCCGAGGTCCCGTCGGGAACCTCTGCGCAGCCGGGGTGTTGCCTGCTCCCTGGGGCTCGCAGGACCGCTGCTACGAGTGCGTTGGAAAATGCAGCCTTGCAGGCCGAGTTTGCCGCCCCTGCTCAGTGGCGAGCGCAGGCTGTGACATGAGCAGCAGGCAGGAAATCTGGTTAGAGAGCTATTGCCACGGGGGGACAGAACTGATGGAGAACTGAATGGCTCCCAAATTGTATTGGGACCTCTGATTTCCTTTCAATGTCTTGTAACCCTTTGTCCATTGATTCGTTTTTCTGAGGCTGGAGGGTGACTCTGGCGAGTTTCCAGCACTCAGAATCCTTCAGGAGGATGAAATCCGTGCCGCTCAGACAGGGCGAATGCGAGGACTCTGCACCGTCCGGAGTGCCTGAGATCTAGGAACCTACCAGGGAGAAAAGTGAACCACGTTTGAGCTTGACCCATTGTCCATCGTCTGCAGGTGCTGGTTGCAGTTTACGTTTGTTTCGGTTTAAGTTAGTCCCACCTCGGGGCACACGGTGGGAGTGAAATGGCTTCAGATGCTGTTTTCCAGCAGAGCAGGGATGTCCCATCCCTCCTGTCCCCCTGAAAGCCTGCGCTGCATGCCGTTGCCTGAAGCCTCCATTAAAAAGCAGTTTGACATCTTTGTGTGTGAGGGAGGGGGTGCGGGGCCTGCCTGCCGTGCAGGGTGGGCAGGGGTCCGCTGGGGACCTGCCGTGCCCTGGCATCTCTGCTCGCGAGCCTGGCGGAGGCCATGGTGCTTTGCTGCTCTTCGTGCTCCCGTTCTGGCAAATTCTTTGCTGCCCACTGGCTGAATGCGCTCGGCACAGAAACGACTCCTCTGCGTGGCGCCGGTATCTCGTGGCGGGGGAAGCTCCTGTTGGACGGGATGCCTGGTGGCTTGGGAGGGCTGTTCCCAAGGGCTGGGTGCCTCCTGGCCCCGCAGTGCCGTGCCCCAGAGCCGTCAGGAAGAGCTTTCTTCCTTGCGGCCAGGGGGAGGAAGGGCGGATGGTTTTGTGATCGCTAGCAATGCTTTGCAAAGAGTAGGCGAGTTTCGTTTCGGTGCTTCAGAGGTGTGAAAGGGAGAGCAATTACCACTAGGTATGCACCGGGCAGGTAGGTTTTCCTCAGCGATGGGATAGCTGTGTTCCCTGTGGAAACGCACGCATCCGTGCGTCTGCCCCGCTCTGGGAGGTCTCGCGCCTGGAGCGGAGCCGCTGCGTGCTCAGCAGGTCTTCAGTGGCGAGAGCGTCCGGCGCTGGCTGACCTCCTTCCCAGGGACGGCTCTCGGCGCATTCCCGCGGTGGCTCAGGCATTGCCAGCGGACCCGCTGCCCACGACTGCGGACTGGCCCAACACCCCTGCTCCTCCCATCCGCTGCCGGCCGCACCGGCGGCCCCACAGAGCCCCTTCCCTGGGGCTGGGTACCCGCAGAGGGAGAGACGGGCTCGGGCAACTCTGCTGCCCGATGCCTCGGCCAGGCCTGGGTGCTACAGCATCAGTGCTGGCAGGTCTGAGGCTTTGCTCTCTACCTAGGTGGGGTTTTTGGTTTGTTTCCAGTAGTAACGGGGAGGAAGCTACTCTGTGCATGGCAGCCTGGGCTCGGTTCTTTGCTTTTGGTTCTTTATGCTGGGAGGCTCTGCCTGCCTTCTGCATCCGTGGCCTCAAAGTGCAGGCAGGCAGAGCAGTGAGGTGACCTGAGGCCATTTATCTGCTTGGCGCATCTTTTGCTGATGCAGATCCCAGTGCAGGGTAGAGCTGCCCATTTCTGGTAGGGGCGTCTGTGCCAGTGGCTCAGGGGGAGGCCCAGGCCTGGCATTGTGCCTTGCACACGATCATCGCCATCTTGGGAAGCTGCTGGAGAGGAATTGTGTGTCCTGTGCGGACCAGCGGGACGCACTGCTGCTGAGAGCTGCAGTGCCTGCCACAACCTCCGGCACTGCAGAGATCGGTGCCCGCGGGGTCAGCAGTGCCACTTTGCCCCCCGTGCCACTTTGCCCCCCTCTGTGCTGCAGCTCACAACAGGGAAGTTGCACGGCTGCCAGTCCTTCGCCGGGGCTTCTGTATCTTAAGCAGATGTGCTTTCAAGACAAGAATAACACTGTGAGTTGCAAATCCCCCTCCGCCTCCCTCTTCGCCTGTACTCGGCAAACAGTCTGCCTTGGTACGGCCTGTGTGGGAACCTACAGGCTGCGATAGCAGATCCTTCTTCAGGGGAACTACCGAGGAATGTTGATGAGATTAGAGAGCTGAAAGGGGCCGAGTTTAGCGATGGCATCTCCATGGATGCTGAGGCTGTCTGTGCCTGGATTCCCAGCGTGTGGCTCTGGGATTGCCATGGCTGCCTCTTCCAAAGTGCAAGAGCAAGTCTGTCTTGGGAAGAGTTCAATGCCACTTGCACTCTGAGGCAGAGAAAAAATGTGGAGCTGCCCTTTCCGTACCAAAATAGCTCCTCCCATGCTCCCTGTTGAGGCTGGGAGCCTGAAACCAGCATACTTGTGTTCTGCCTCAGCACAAATACGTAGTTAAGCCTAAAAATATGTGCAGCTGGGTCACATTCTCAGGCAGGTCAGTAACCAGTCTGACAGAAGTTGAAAGAGTTGCAGCAGAAACAGCAGCAGAAATGCTTGTGCTGGAGTGGGTGGAGGGTGGACCTGAGAAGACATGACATGACATGACATGACATGACATGACATGACAGTCCCTGGGAGGATCGTCTCGCTGGGCTGGGCATGCTGTGGGGATGCTGCGATGCTGTGTCGCTCAGGGATGGAGGTCACGTCTCCTGCGCCTCCCTGCAGCAAGGGCAGCATGCCCGGTGGGAGCACCCGTCCCTTCTGCCCTACGGATCCGGGAGGCTCAGCCTCTGTGGGGCTGTGGGGTGTCCTGGGAGTCACGGGCGGTGCTGAGCAGGAACGGTGCCATTAGCGACAGCCAGCCGCCCCTGCTGACTGCTGTGACCTCCTAGGCAAGGACGGGCTTTCTGTGGGGTGGGCTTGTGCCCGGCTGCGGTGCAGACCCCCTTCCCACAGCGCGGAGGTGATCTGCTCTCTCCTGCGGGCAAGGACAGCACTACTCTGCTCTCCCCATCTCTTCCGTCAGTCTGGCTGCTCTGTGGCACCCGTGGCACCTCCCGATGCCGCTTTAATGCTGATTTAACGTGTGTTTAGGGCAAGTGGAAGCTCCTTATCGAGGCAGTCATATAAACAGACCTACAGAAACTCCCTGGAGCAGGGCAGTCACACCCCGTCCTCTGCCTGTGATGGCTTGCCTCCCTAATAGCCCTCACCCAGCGTGGTGCCAAGGATGCCCCTCTGGCCCCGCGAAGAGTGCTGGTGTGCTTTGGGACGGCCGATGGGGGACGGCAGGAGGCTTTGTGGGAGGGAGAGCTCTGAAGGAGCCGGTTGGCGTGCGCCCCGGGCCCCGTGCCTGCGGTGGGGACACGGATGCAGCTTTCCTTTTGCCCCAGATTCTGAAGATAAAATCTCCGCTCGATTAAACTTCACAAGTGTACAGGGCCAGCCTTCCCTGGGGGGAGAAGCCTTATCTGGTAGCCGAGCAGTCAGGGAGGGATCTGCTGCTTATGCACGGCAAACCTGAAATGTGCAGCATTGCATAAAGATAATTGTGTTCGTTCAGCCCTTGGACGTGTTTCCCCAAAGCCAGAGCGTGCGCTGGCTGTGCTGTGGGAATCTGTTGCAACTCCTAGTCCTTGTTGTACCCCATGACAGGGATGACAGGCAGGTTGTGGCAATGCCAGCTGCCCTTGTGACATGGCAAGAGT